CCACCAAACCTCTGTGACCTGGTAAGGGGGACATGAGTTTGAGAAGTAACAAAAAAATCCCTCTGAATGAGCTGTACAGATCCAGAGATGAGATGGGCAATACTGTCCATAGGGCAGTTACAACCAAGATGCTTGACAAATTTGGGCTTCATGGAAAAGTACCAAAAGTAAAACTATTACTGAACAAAAACCCATTTTAAATACTTTTGGGGTTTGCTTGAAACCATGTGGGAAACACAGCAAACATGAAGACATTCTCTAGGGTTTGGTGAGACCAAGATTGAACTTTATGGGCTTCACTCAAAACACTGCATGTAGTAGAAAGCCAACACGGCCCATCTCCCTGAAAACACCATTCACACCACGAAGAATGGTGGTCATAGCATCTAGCATGTGGATTAATTTCATCTGCAAAGACTGAAAAACTGGTCAGGATGAGGGCAACATGAATGGAGATAAAGTTCCTATACTTTACAATTAACCTAAGGCTGAGGGGAAAGTTCTCCTTCTAGCAGGTTAGTGGCCTGGACCTCTTTTCAACTGTAAATATTTGGCAACATTTAAAGTGAATCCTTACAGAGTTTCCAATGCTATCTTCAAGAAAACAGGCAAAGAAGAACACTTGCATATATCATTGCCTCTTTGTTTTGATAGTTTACCACATTCCCACTTCATATGTTCCTTCTGTGACTTTTCTATAATGATAAATAATATCATCAGTTGCTGGCTTCTTCCCAGTTCCCTGTGCCGACTCATTGATGTGAGTCACTAATCACTGATCACTAATCACTGATGCGATGTGCCAGACCTTGTCAATGTGCAGTATGAGATTTTGCATCTTTTGTTATGTAATGCTAAACGTCATCTAAGGAAAAAAATGCCTTTTCCAGGAGATTATGCGAGATCTCACAACGTGTACAGATTTATCTGGAAGGCACAGAAGAGACGAAACGTTCTCAGGATGCAGCTGTGATATTCTGGCTATGTCACCAATGCCTCAGGGAAACCAGGAAGTACCATCTAATTACATGTAAGTGGACTAAGGAATATGTTTAATAAAGTGTGATCTGGCTTGTCTTTACAAATCAAATTGCAGCTCTTCACCACGTATACAATTCTCTGAGGAGAGCCTCTTTATTAACATTTATACTTCTCATCTCTGATTGAGAAGAGAAATGGAGTATGCGGTGAATGACCACAATGTGTAGAATAAGTTAGATTTTAAATACTCCTCAATGAAAATTAAAAACATAGAGGTGGGAAAATAAGAGGAATGAACATAAATTCCCATTGCAGAGAGACATTTCATGGATAATTGTATTTTTTTTTTTTTTATTATTATTATTATTATATAATTATATCAAGACATTCCTGTGACACTTGTATCTGAGTGTTTGTGGCTATATAAATACATTCTGGTACATAGTTACATAGTCTGGCTGAAAAAAGACAAAAGTCCATCCAGTTCAACCAAAAAAATAAAAAAAAAGTTATAATTCTACACCCATAGTTGATCCAGAGTTAGGCAAAAAACCCAGCATATTCCCTGGATCAACTTTACCTACAGTGGGGCAAAAAAGGATTTAGTCAGCCACCAATTGTGCAAGTTCTCCCACTTAAAAAGATGAGAGAGGCCTGTAATTGGCATCATAGGTAGACCTCAATTATGAGAGACAAAATGAGAGAAAAAAAATCCAGACAATCACATTGGCTGATTTGGAAAGAATTTATTTGCAAATTATAGTGGAAAATAAGTATTTGGTCAATATCAAAAGTTCATCTCAATACTTTGTTATATATCCTTTGTTGGCAATGACAGAGGTCAAACGTTTCCTGTAAGTCTTCACAAGGTTGGCACACACTGTTGCTGGTATGTTGGCCCATTCCTCCATGAAGATCTCCTCTAGAGCAGTGATGTTTTGGGGCTGTCGCTGGGCAACACGGACTTTCAACTCCCTCCAAAGGTTTTCTATGGGGTTGAGATCTGGAGACTGGCTAGACCACTCCAGGACCTTGAAATGCTTCTTACGAAGCCACTCCTTCATTGCCCTAGAGGTATCATTGTCATTTTGGAAGACCCAGCCACGTTTCATCTTCAATGCCCTTGCTGATGGAAGGAGGTTTGTACTCAAAATCTCACAATACATGGCCCCATTCATTCTGTCCTGTACATGGATCAGTCGTCCTGGTCCCTTTGCGGAGAAACAGCCCCAAAGCATGATGTTGCCACCCCCATGCTTCACAGTAGGTATGGTGTTCTTTGGATGCAACTCAGCATTCTCTCTCCTCCAAACACGACGAGTTGTGTTTCTACCAAACAGTTCTATTTTGGTTTCATCTGACCATATGACATTCTCCCAATCCTCTTCTGGATCATCCAAATGCTCTCTAGCAAACTTCAGACGAGCCCGGACATGTACTGGCTTAAACAGGATGACACGTCTGGCACTGCAGGATCTGAGTCCCTGGCGGCGTAGTGTGTTACTGATGGTAGCCTTTGTTACGTTGGTCCCAGCTCTCTGCAGGTCATTCACTAGGTCCCCCTGTGTGGTCCTGGCATTTTTGCTCACCGTTCTTGTGATCATTTTGACCCCACGGGGTGAGATCTTGCGTGGAGCCCCAGATCGAGGGAGATTATCAGTGGTCTTGTATGTCTTCCATTTTCTAATTATTGCTCCCACAGTTGATTTGTTCACACCAAGCTGCTTGCCTATTGCAGATTCAGTCTTTCCAGCCTGGTGCAGGTCTACAATTTTGTTTCTGGTGTCCTTTGACAGCTCTCTGGTCTTCACCATAGTGGAGTTTGGAGTGTGACTGTTTGAGGTTGTGGACAGGTGTCTTTTATACTGATAACAAGTTCAAACAGGTGCCATTGATACAGGTAATGAGTGCAGGACAGAGGAGCCTCTTAAAGAAGAAGATACAGGTCTGTGAGAGCCAGAAATCTTGCTTCTTTGTAGGTGACCAAATACTTATTTTCCACCATAATTTGCAAATAAATTCTTTCCAAATCAGCCAATGTGATTGTCTGGATTTTTTTTCTCATTTTGTCTCTCATAGTTGAGGTCTACCTATGATGCCAATTACAGGCCTCTCTCATCTTTTTAAGTGGGAGAACTTGCACAATTGGTGGCTGACTAAATACTTTTTTGCCCCACTGTATAAATGTTAGTAACCAGTTATATTATGTGTAGAAGAGCCACAGAAATGTTCTGATATGAATGAAAACACAATTATTTCTGAATGGTCCCTCTCCAATAGGAGCATAGCAATTTGTAGGATGGCGGTGTGTGTGTGCGTGCATGTGTGTGTACAGCACCACCCTCAGAAAGCACCATGTATATATATTTATACACACACAAATACTGTATATACATATATAACACATCCTACATTTTACAAGGGCTGCCAAGCTGTGACAGAGGACATAATTCCTCTATTTCCTCCCCACATCGTAGAGGTTTCCCTCTATTGCCACCTTTGAGGTAAATTTACACAAATGGCCAATCAGGCACTTACATCGCACCTTAAAGCGGAGTTCCACCTGGAAAAAAAATAAAAGTCAACAGATACAAAAACTGCAGCCACTTACCTGTTCCTCGGTCCAGCGGTGTCCTCACCACCACTGGTTTCACCAGCCGTCTCCTCTCCTTGGCGCCGCATCTTCAGTGTGGGCACCCGACTGTAACAGCTTGCGGCTCCACAGCCGGGTGCCCAATGCTCATGCGCGAGTAGTGCTGCGCTTTGTGAATGGCCCCGTAGTCCCACAAGACTACAGGGAGAGGGAGGACAACTTCTGCTTCCAATCGCCTTAGGTGATCGAAGTGGGAGCGGGTCAAATTCAGGTACCCGCTCCCCAAAGGTGCCAATCCTTATAGGGGAGCAGGGGACAAAGGCTTAAAGTGGAACTTCCCCTTTTGGATGGAGCTCCGCTTTAATAACTACATAAATCCGTGCACAAGGGTTGCGGTTTATCTCGCTTTCATAAAACAGACACCTAAAGCTTTGGAGTTCGGGTAATTTGGAATCAGCATGCAAAGCTGCATGCTCTACTGATTTTTATTGCAGAGGAAAGGTCCACTTTATAAATTGCTGCTCATCAACACTCTATTCAGTCTGTGAGGGAGCGAGATATGAGGGAGAGATTAGGAAATGGTGTTGGATCCAAAATTTGAAGAGGCGTACCACAAAAGACACACAGCTGTAATTGCAATCAAAGGCAATAACAAACAAGTAATGGGTTGGAACTTGCTTTTATGTTTAACTTTTATGTCATTTTGCACCTTTTGGCTTCCAAGCTGCAACACTAGAAAATTCCAAGGCGGAGAATACTCATATAGCGCCAACAGTTTGCTCAGCGCTTTACAATATAACGGGAGGCAATACAGCAACAATACAGTTCAATACAAGAGGGATAGGAGGGCCCTGATCCTGGGAGCTTACAATCTAGGAGACATCTCTATTTTCAGCAATGATTCTGTAAGTTATTATATGTCTTTACTAAACAAAGTGTGGCAAAGGTTTACAATCCTACCATTTCTATGTAGAAAACAGTTTAACCACTTGCCTACAGGGCACTTATACCCCCTTCCTGCCCAGGCCAATTTCCAGCTTTCAGCGCTGTTGCACTTTGAATGACAATTGCGCGGTCATGCAACACTGTACCCATATGAACTTTTTGTCATTTTTTTGAGACAGATAGAGCTTTCTTTTGGTGGTATTTAATCACCTCTGAGATTTTTATTTTTTCTTAAACAAACCAAAAACCACTGAAAATTTTGAAAAAAAAAAGTTTTTTCTTAGTTTTTGTTATACAATTTTGTAAATAAGTGATTTTTCTCCTTCAATGATGTGCGCTAATGAGGCAGCACTGATGGGCATTGACAGGCATCACTGATGGGCACTGAAAGGCAGCATTGATACATGACAGGGATAGGCGGCACTGACTGGCACCATTAGGCGGCACTGACTGGCGCTGATAGGTGGCACTGACTGGCACTGATAGGTGGTACTGATGCGCACTGATAGGCGACACTGACTGGCACTGATAGGTGGCACTGATTGGCAGCACTGATTGGCATTGATAGGTGGCACTGACTGGCACTGATGGGTGACATTGAAAGGCAGCTCAGATGGGCACTGATATGTGGCATTGATGTGCACTGGTATGCACTGATATGTGGCACTGATGGGCACTGGAATGTGGCACTGATGAGCACTGACTGCTGGCACTGATGGACACTGACAGGTGGCACTTTTAGGGCCATACTGATCATCAGTGCACACTGATCATCATTGCCCTGATGATCAGTGTACATGTCCCCTCCACAGAAAGCCGATTACCGGCTCTCCTCTTCTCTCGAGCTGTCAGCATGACAGCTCAAGAGGAGAGAAATGACGATAACCGGCATTTCCGTGTTTACATGTGATCAGCTGTGATTGGACACAGCTGATTACATGACCGAGCCGACAGCTTCGGCTTTTTCCGTGATCTGCTGTGTCTGAGGGACACAGCGTACCGGCAATCGCCGCGCTGCGCGCTCCCTGAGCTGCGCCATTCGCGGTGAGAATGAAACGGCGTCATATGACGTCCTATCAGAACGAGAGAACCACCTTGCGTCCGTCCTTGTACTATAGGGCGGGCGGAAGGTGGTTAAAGTATTACTAAACCCTTGTGTAAAAAAAAAAAAAAAAAACCATGTGCCAGTTAAATATAACCAAGGAGGGGAGAATGTCACCAGCACGCCGAGGATCACCAATATGGGTCCAAAAGTGTTTTTGTTTTTTTTTTATAATTAAAACTTTTATCAAATTTTTCATTACAACGGAAAAACATAGGAAAACTCGACAATATAGCATATTCATATAAGAAAAAAAAACCCACAAGTTTTAATAAACAATCACATACGTAGTTACAGCACGGCAATGTTTCGGAGTCACGCAGGACCCCTTCATCAGGCATGTGACAACGTGATCAGGGGTCCTGTGAGACACCAAAACGTTGCCTTGCTGTAACTATGTGATCGTTCATTAAAACTTTTGGACCCGTATTGGTGATCCTCGGTGTGCTGGTGACATTTCCCTGGCTGATTCTCCCTGGCTGATTCTGTTCGGTTCCAGTCGACAGTCGCTGCACTTATACACACAGCCATTTTTAACGCAGGAACCTGTGCGTTGGGATTCTACAGTTAAATATAACCAGTCGCAGACTATGGACGTGTTAGTCCAAAAAAATGTCATCATTGCAGGGGCGGACTGACAACTCATGGGGCCCCCCGGGCAATAGGGGATCATGGGGCCCCTGTGTCCTTGCCCAAACTCAAAAAAGCCTATGAAAAAGGTAAAAAGGTACCAGGGGCATCTCATGGGGCCCCCTACTGACCCCGGGTCCTCGGGCAGTGCCCGAGTCTCCAAATGTAAAAGAGGAGCTATATTTCAATACTAAATAAACCAAATGGTACACAGTGTAAACAGTGACGCCCCCTGCATCATTGTACATAGAGCATGTGAAACATGTCCAGTCCTTCTGCCCTTCTGCCAGGACCTCCCCTGTCCCAGTACTCTACAATTCAGCTCTGATTTGATCTGCAGAAGAAGTCACCTGACAAGTAAAAATTTTTTTTTTTTTTTTTTTTTTAAATGAAAAGTTCCTCTGTTGAACCTCTTATTAACCCTTAGTTTATGCTAATCAGCCCAGATTACCTCCTTATTCTCCTCCATTCAATTATCATTTTCCTGCTAATTTGTTTTTTATTTTCTATTTTATCAACAAATAATATTTAAACTTTTTTTGTTTTTCTTTGTTTTGTTCGTTAATATTTTTACTCCCTTAACATATATTTACAAATTTCACATTTAAAAAAGCGCAAAATTGATTATTTCATTTGTGAATAACTTTGCAATGCCTTGTACCAGAATCATAATTTTAGTGTCATTTTAAACAGGACAAATGACAGAATAAAATGATGGTCAGTAGGAAGAATGCTCCCACACTTGTGGTCACTGGGAAGAATTACCCTCACAAACACCTAAAAAGACCTTTGGTGTCACTGGTTACTTATCTGAGAGGCAGGAATTACGGTTGTTCAAGGAACCCCTAGCAACCTCTGGAGGAACCCAAGGGTTCCATGGTATCTTGGTTGAGAAAGACTGGTATAGAGTGGGAGGGTGCCCACTTACAGAAGTTTTCAGAAGGCATCTGCCTAATGGTGGTTGGTGTCCCCCCTGTACAATGGGGATCAGTATGTCCTCTGTATGACAACAAAAAGCTAAAAAAAAATGCAGCACAACCCTACACTTCTATAAAATTGTACAAATGGACTTGTAATTGCAAAAGTAAAACCTATTTATGACTGAATATCCAGTGCAAATCAACCAATGTATTGCAATATTGTAGTGATGGTGTCACCCTCTCTGAAAAAAATATTTTGAGAAATTGCATAATTCACAATAAATGTAAAATTGAAAAACATTTTAAATATTTTACATTTATTATGATTATCTATATGTTTCATCACTATTTGCACATTTCAGCTCTGCAATATTTCTTGATTTTTTGTCGAGAGGGTGACACCATCACTACTATGTTCTACTACACTGGTTGATTTGCATCTTTGCTATTATTATTGTACGGGGGTGTTACCAGTGTTTTCACATTGCAGCTCTGCAATTAATCAAAATGTTTCAGCAAGGAGGGTGACACCATCACTGCTATATTGCAATACATTACTTGATTTGCACGGATATTCATATATAGGTTTTGCCATTGCACTTATATGCCCATTTTACAGTTTTATAGAGGAAGTGTAGGGCTGCGCTGCATTTTTTGCTTTCTCATGATTCAGGTTGGATGGGAATGAACACATATCACAAATAGTATGATCACATATCAATGCAAGCAGCTAAGAAGATCCTGTCATTATTGCTTTTAGATTCTTTTGGTTGCCCAGTAGTTTTATTTGATTTGGTATGTCCTCTCTAAACTGGAGCTCTGCATATTGAGGGTCAGTGTGCCCCTGTATAATGGTAGTCAGTTGCTCCGTATACTGGTGGTCAGAGCTTTCTTCTCAAAGAATAGGTGCAGAATATGAAACCTGCTCCCACCACAATACAAATGACCCCCTCTCTATCCCCACAGAGGGGGAGAGCATTCCGCATCAAATGCTGGTTCTGGCTAAACTGTACTAAAAGTGTGAGGGTCTTAAAGGGACATGTTAAATACCAGGAGTGCAGTACAAACTGGGTGCAGAGTTCAGGAGTACACCATGCAGAGTGAAGGGTTCAGAAGTGTGTAGTATGCTACTTACAGAGTGCAGGGTTGTGGAACATTCTACATGCACACTGTATGTTTTACTGCAGAAGTACTCTATATAAAGAGTGCAATGTTTAGAAGTGTGCTACATACAAAGTGCAGGCTACACATTGCAATACAAGGTTCAAGAGTGCGCTACGCACGCAATGCAAGGTTCAAGAGTGCGCTACGCACGCAATGCAAGGTTCAAGAGTGCGCTACGCACGCAATGCAAGGTTCAAGAGTGCGCTACGCAGGCAATGCAAGGTTCAAGAGTGCGCTACGCACGCAATGCAAGGTTCAAGAGCGCGCTACGCACGCAATGCAAGGTTCAGGTGTGTGCGCTACGCATGCAATGCAAGGTTCAGGAGTGCGCTACGCACACAATGCAATGTCCAGGTGTGCGCTACGCACGCAATGCAAGGTTCAGGAGTGCCCTAGGCACGCAATGCAAGGTTCAGGAGTGCGCTACGCACACAATGCAAGGCACAATGCAAGGTTCAGGAGTGCGCTGATCACACAATGCGGGGTTCAGGAGTGCACTTCGCACACAATGCAAGGTTTCAGGAGTGCACTACACAAATGCGGGGTTCAGGAGTGCACTACACACACAATGCAGGGTTTAGGAGTGTGCTGATCACACAATGGGGGTTCAGGAGTGCACTACGCACACAATGCGGGGTTCAGGAGTGCACTACACACACAATTGGGGTTCAGGAGTGCACTACACACACAATACGGGGTTCATGGAGTGCACTACACACACAATGTTCAGGGTGCACTTTCACACACAATGCAAGGTTCAGGAGTGCACTTCGCACACAATGCAAGGTTCAGGAGTGCACTACACACACAATGCGGGGTTCAGGAGTGCACTTCGCACACAATGCGGGGTTCAGGAGTGCACTACGCACACAATGCGGGGTTCAGGAGTGCACTACGCACACAATGCGGGGTTCAGGAGTGCACTATGCACCAATGCGGGGTTCAGGAGTGCACTACTACACACAATGCAAGGTTCAGGAGTGCACTACACACACAATGTGGGGTTCAGAGTGCACTACACACACAATGTGGGGTTCAGGAGTGCACTACACACACAATGTGGGGTTCAGGAGTGCACTACACACACAATGCGGGGTTCAGGAGTGCACTACACACACAATGTGGGGTTCAGGAGTGCACTACACACACAATGCGGGGTTCAGGAGTGCACTACGCACACAATGCGGGGTTCAGGAGTGCACTACACACACAATGCGGGGTTCAGGAGTGCGCTGCTCACAAAATGCGGGGTTCAGGAGTGTGCTACACACACAATGCGGGGTTCAGGAGTGTGCTACACACACAATGCAGTGTTCAGGAGTGCGCTACGCACACAATGCGGGGTTCAGGAGTGCACTACACACACAATGCGGGGTTCAGGAGTGCACTCGCACACAATGCGGGGTTCAGGAGTGCACTACACACACAATGCGGGGTTCAGGAGTGCACTTCGCACACAATGCAAGGTTCAGGAGTGCACTACACACACAATGCGGGGTTCAGGAGTGCACTTCGCACACAATGCGGGGTTCAGGAGTGCGCTGCACTACACAAAATGCAGTGTTCAGGAGTGCGCTGATCACACAATGCAGTGTTCAGGAGTGCGCTGTGCACACAATGCGGGGTTCAGGAGTGCACTACACACACAATGCAGTGTTCAGGAGTGCGCTACACACAAATGCAGTGTTCAGGAGTGTGCTACACACACAATGCAGTGTTCAGGAGTGCGCTGTGCACACAATGCAGTGTTCAGGAGTGCGCTGTGCACACAATGCAGGTTCAGGAGTGCACTACGCACACAATGCAGTGTTCAGGAGTGCGCTGTGCACACAATGCAGGGTTCAGGAGTGCGCTGTGCACACAATGCAGTGTTCAGGAGTGCGCTGTGCACACAATGCAGGGTTCAGGAGTGCGCTGTGCACACAATGCAGTGTTCAGGAGTGCGCTGTGCACACAATGCAGTGTTCAGGAGTGCGCTGATGCACACAATGCAGTGTTCAGGAGTGCGCTGTGCACACAATGCGGTGTTCAGGAGTGCACTACGCACACAATGCAGTGTTCAGGAGTGCGCTGTGCACACAATGCAGGGTTCATTCGTGCACTACATACAATGCAAGGGAAGCAGAAGTGCACTACACACACAATGCCTGTCACGAGAGGACACAATCTTTTTTTTTCCATCCATTCTTCTTGTATTGTGATACCAGAAATGTTTATGTTAAATATAAAGCAAGGATGAATGGATGGATGAACGGAACAAACAGACATCCTACATTCTTTTCTCTCTGTCAGAGTCAGAACCATGACTTGTGCTAACAGAAAGGAATGCAGGATGTGTGTGTTCTGTCTTTTCCACGGAGGATCTTTACCTCAAGCCTTGCCGGTGTCAGAATACAGCCTGGATGGATCGGATAAATGATCTTCTCTGGAGCTGCTCTGCTGTAGAACCCAGCCTATTCTCTTCCTGCTGGCAGAAGCTGTTTGTTTCTCTTTAGACCAAGTGTAGGCAACCATAACTCACTGTATGTCCCAGCAGGGACTGAAGAATCTCTTCTATCTGCCCCTCATAGCAGGCGGTGCTGTCAGTGTCTCCTCCTCCCATCCAGCTGGAGGTAGGCAGGGGAAGAGGGCAGGTACAGTGCTTTCCTATTGGCTGAGAAGGCAGTAGGGGCTGTGTATCAATCCGCTTCTGAAACCAGCCTGCCAGGACTCAATAAATGTCATTGGCTTTTGCAGACAGAACTGCTGTATCCCTCTGCAGGAATAAAAGAGTCCCCAGCTTTCTACCAGCAACAGAGGTAGTGCAGGCAATGATTTATTAAAATAGAACCCACTGTAACACATACAAGTAATGGCATGTACATTTTGAGGGTACTATGGAGGTGCCTAAAGAATTATCTGACCCTATTCTACATGTCAAGTTTATTTGCATCTGCTTCCAGCAATGTGCACGCCTGCCCCTCAATTCTGCAGAAATCAGCCTGCTTATTAGAAGGAGGCGACTGCACTGCGCCAGTTGCTTCAACATGTAGTACCTTAGCCTGTAATGGGAATATGTCATAGAAGGGTGGCTACATTTGACCTATAGTTATCCTATATACACTATATAGCCAAAAGTATTAGGACACCCCATCCAGACCATTAAATTCAGGTATTTCAATCCCCTCCATGGTCACAGGTGTATAAAATCAAGCACCTAGGCATGCAGACTGCTTCTACAAACATTTGTGAAAGAATGGGTCCCTCTCAGGAGCTCAGTGAATTCAAGCGTGGTATCGTGATAGGTTGCCACCTGTGCAATAAGTCCATCCATGAAATCTCCTTGCTGCTAAATATTCCACGGTCAACTGTTAGTGGTATTATAACAAAGCAGAAGCAACTGGGAACAACAGCAACTCAGCCACGAAGTGGTAGGCCACATAAAATGACAGAGAGGGGTCAGCGCATGTTGAAGCACACAGTGCACAGAAGTCACCAACTGTCTGCAGAGTCAGTATAGCTAAAGACCTACAAACTTCAAGTGGCCTTCAGATTAGCACAACAACAGTGCATAAAGAGCTTCATGGAAGAGGTTTCCATGGCCGAGCAGCTGCATCCAAGCCTTAAATCAATGAGTGCAATGCAAAGCGTCGAATGCATTGGTGTAAAGCATGAAACCACTGGACTCTAGAGCAGTGGAGACGTGTTCTCTGGAGTGATGAATCACGCTTCTCTGTCTGGCAATGTGATGGATGTGTCTGGGTTTGGTTGCCAGGAGTACGGTACTTGCCTGACTGCATTATGCCAAGTGTAAAGTTTGGTGGAGGGAAGATTATGGTGCGGGGTTGTTTTTCAGGGGTTGGTCTTGGCCCCTTAGTTCCAGTGAAGGGAACTCTTAAGGTGTCAGCATACCAAGATATTTTAGACAATTTCATTCTCTCAACTTTGTGGGAAGAGTTTGGGGATGGCCCCTTCCTGTTCCAACATGACTGCGCACCAGTGCACAAAGCAAGGTCCATAAAGACATGGATGAGCGAGTTTGGGGTAGAGAAACTTGACTGGCCTGCACAGAGTCCTGACCTCAACCCAACAGAACACCTTTGGGATGAATTAGAATGGAGACTGCAAGCCAGGCCTCCTTGTCCGACATCAGTGCCTGACCTCACAAATACGCTTCTGGAAGAATGGTCAAGCATTCCTATAGAACCACTCGAAAACCTTGTAGACAGCCTTCCCAGAAGAGTTGAAGCTGTTATAGCTGCAAAGGGTGGGCCAACTCAATACTGAACCCTACGAACTAAGAGTGGGATGCCATTAAAGTCTGTGTGCATGTAAAGGCAGGCGTCCCAATACTTTTGGCAATATAGTGTATATGTAGCCACTCTCAAAAAGGAAGTGTATGGGGCAGTTATTTTCAATAAATATTAAGACACACAGGAGCAACCATGGCTAACTAAAACATATGGCACTCTACATTTTTTCTATTGGGTTAAGGAACACTTTAGGTGTCCTTCATGTAGGTGATGTTGGTGCATGATGATTTCTTTGGCTGATCCTTCACATCTCCTTTATATGTTCATTGTTCTCGAAAACTGAATTTTAATCATTCACTGCCCACACTAAAATATGTTATATGCATATAAATACAGCTCCAGGTGGGATCACACTCTGGACTCCATATCTACTGTCGGAGTGCTAGATGCTGGCTCATTTTAATATAGCTGTTCACAACTGCATCTCAAGGGCATAGCCACACACAAGGATGCAACAACCTTGTTTTCTTTAATAAATAACCATCAGGAACACACTCACGTGTTTCACGCAAGGACTTAACGCTTAATCTTACTGGAATGATACACTACTACTTCATAAGTGACTTTCACCTGTCACCCTGGTATTATGGATTCTCTGTGAGCTTTACCTTACTGGAACAGAACAACAGTGGTACTACACCATCTGAGTGGCTTTTTCCCATCATCACATTAAGTAGTATAGATTTCCCCAATCGTACTGAAATATTAAGTAATACTACCCCAAGAAACTTACTTGACTTCTGACAAGACAGATCTTTCACCATCTGAGCACTGGGACCTCCTGTATTGGCGAAAGCTGCGGGGGGAATGGGAGTGTCTGATGCGTATGGGGTCACCTTGAGTCCTAAAGATGATGGAAGCAAAATTCCACACACATTGTTAAATGAAAATAGCCATGCTTTAAAGTGATCACTAAGCATGTTACTTTTAAGTGAACAATAAAATTATTATTATTACCATCATTTTCTACTTGAAGACACCAACACATTACACAACTCTGTACAAAAAGTGAACACAATGAAAAATATACAGTATATACATATATATTCAAATGCTTAAATACTTTTTGACTCTCACACATCTGCATATTTACATATACAACATAACATGATTTTGTTTGGAATTCAATTTTTCAGTTCACTGTAAAACAATCTATATAAATCCATTCTGGTGCATATAAGGTGAACTGGCTTACTCTATTTTCATGTATGGTATTTCCTTTAATTGTTCTTCAGATAAGCCTGAGGGATCAACAAGTTCCTTCCTGTAAAATGAACAATTTGCACAAATCAACATTAACGGCTCTCTCCATGTCAACATTCCAAATGAGCTCTTAACTGAAAATGGAATAAAATAACTATAAATAGAATATAATTGGGTGTAATTGTGCAGTGTTATTAAAGAAGAACTGTGTCCGCTCATAAAAAATAAAATATGTGCTAAAGCACCTATTTGTAAGTACATCTGATCTTACAGTTCTCTTAGTCCTCTTGCAAAATCACACAAATACGTATTCAGCCTGTTAGTTAAATCCTCCTAGTACAGCTTCCACTGATGGTGTGGGAATGATGCTGCACTGCTCCTGAATTCAGAGCACAGTTGCCACTCTCATGTAGACTGTGCTTGTTAGCACTACCTTTTCTGTTTGAAAAGCCTGTAGGTTGTCAATCAGCACCTGACCTAGTCCTGACAATACTTTCTGGATTGGAAGCACTGCCTCTGTACAGGAAACCTTCCCACTGTGATTTGCAGTGTCTGGGAGAAGCATGTGAGACACAAATGAAAGTGTGAACTCTCCTACATGTTTATTGGGTGCATTTAGTACAGCCCTATGCAGACCTCCTATGCTGGTATGTAAACCCTAAGGGTCGGTTCACACCATGGCCGCACATGAATCGCACAGTAACGTGCTGTGCATTTCTGTGCAAATCACACTGCATGCAAAACTCACTCCATTTGCGATCTGCAGCAGATGTCAATACAAAGTTAACAACACCCCAAAGCAGTGCGTTTGCCCGCACCTGCCCACACCGGATTGCATTGTACTTTTGTAATATGCAATCTGGTTGCTGTGAGTTTTAAAAAGCAGTGCATTAACTACTTTTGCTGCAGTGTGGTGCGATTTTAGCCCATTCAAAGCAGTCTTTCTTTGCCCGCACCTGCCCACACCGGATTGCATTGTACTTTTGTACTATGCAATCTGGTTGCTGTGCATTTTAAAAAGCAGTGCAATAACTATTTTTGGTGCAGTGCGGTGCAATTTTCACCTATTCAAAATGAATGGGCTGAAATTGTACCTCACAGAACAGCATGTGAATCGCAAACAAACACAGTGCGTTCCTGTGCGATTCATGTGCAAGCATGGTATGAACTGGCCCGACACAGACACCAGACTATTTATTTCAACAACAATCTTCCCATAGAATTTTATGTGTATTTAACATATTTTAGGCATGTTATTTCCCGTAAAAGCATCCATTATTTAGACATTCTAAAGTCCCAAGACTGCTGTGGGGTGTGGCCTGGGAGGAATTATAACTGCAGTTCAAAAAACATCCCAAAATTATCTCAAAGAAACTTATAGTCAGGAGTTTGCATCTGTTTTACTAAAAAAATATAATATAATAGAACTTTTCTTTGGCATTCACACAGATGATAACTGAATGGATTTTAGTTTGGTAAATCACTGTTTATCATACAAAAATAGCTGTTTAAAGTGGAACCCCACCTAAAAGGGGAAGTTCTGCTTGTTGGCATCCCCCCTCCATTTCCACATTTGGCACTTTTTGGGGAGGAGGGGGAGTGGGTACCTGGTTTTGACAGGTACCCGCTCACACTTCCGGCTCAGCGATGTCCGGTCCCCCTCCTCCTTACCCCATCACAGGTCCCAGAAGACTGCGGGACCAATCATAATGTGCAGCACTGCTTGCACATGCACAGTGGGAAAGTTGGAAGCTTTCACTGCCAGTTCCCTTAGTTAAGATGCCAGCACCAGCACCCGAAGCCAATTAAGGAAAGCGGCTCAGGTTCGGACATCACGGACACCTGGACCTGTAAGTGTCCTTATATTAAAAGTCAGCAGCTACAGTATTTGTAGCTGCTGACTTTTAGTTATTTTTTGAGACTGGAATTCTGCTTGAATTACTTTTCTACTCTACTTAATCTTTTTTCAGCCTTTGCTGCATCTCAGTGCTGCTGATTTCTTGCAGCCTATCTGCAACCACTGTTTACATGCTGTCCAGTAATGGCTGCATGCCATGGCTCAGGCAACTTTTTCTAATAATGACAACAGTGTGTCATCGCTGTGTAAAATGTGTTCAAACAGCCACCTGAGGTCTCAGTCAGAAGTGTACGCTACAGGGCGACAACACAGGAGCCTAAATGGAAGTCAGGGATAGAGTGCTGGCACCCTATAACAGGAAGTGCCTGAACAAGGACCTTCATTACAAGAATTCATCAACTGGTTTTACCAGGACAAGAAACCGCAATTACAAATTTTGCTTGTGCTGTCCCTTGAAATTTGATTTGAATGTGAACCATCTATCAATTTATGATGGCCTTCTATTAATGTGATTATTCATGGGTGGATGGATTTCAGTCTTCCTGTTATTATACACAAAATCATAATAAGATACCGTGTGAGGCTGAACCTTTCCATGTTTGAGATAGAAAGAAAACACTCATGGTTGTCCAGAAGACTTATATCTAACTAATAAATACTTACTGAATATGTTTCCATAATTCTTCCTTGGCCTGAACATCTGGGCTCCGCCTGATTTATAATAAAATAAATAAATACATAAATAAATCATACATGGTATATGGTTATATACTGTATATAGGCATAATTTACATGTATGTTCTTGCTTGTTAACATTTTCTTTTTTAATTTTTTAGGTGTGGTCATGTGATCTCTAAGCTTCGCCTTCCCTATGTCAGTAGCCGCTGCAGCTGATGGGTGGGAGCTCTGGGTTATGGCAATGAAAGCCAATAAGGTGACCTCATGGCTCTGGGAATTCAGTTCTGTTGTCAAGCTGCTCAATGACACAGCAGAGCCATAGCTTACTTATTTTAGCCTTTAATTGGACAGGCTGTGAAATGTATTTGGAAAATGGACAATGATGGCAGCCATTAAACCGATGGGATCCAGTCCAGTAAAGCACACTTATCTGTATAAATTACCCTTTGATGTTGATGCCAAGTAGAAGTTAATGCTTGTATATGGTGGATAATGTAAAGACAGTAAAAAAAATACTAACTAAAGAAACATCAAAGTTTTGCCTAAAATGTGTATATGAACTATTGAAAAGAAATAATATGCTATATCCTTTACCACAGTAGCTAGAATTGCAAGAAAAATCCAGCTAGGTGTAGCACAGGTCAACGTGACAAAACTAAATAACCTAATTAGAAGCCAACGAACAGGACAACCCAACCACTGGGCCAGGATGACCAGAGTAAAATGAGCAAACAAAAAAACCACTCTCTGGATAGTAGCTGCTATTCTCTGCTTGAGTGAATCACAGTTTTAAAGAATCAGTTATCAAAATATAGGTGTATACCTATATTTTATTAAAAAAAAAAAAATTAAAAAACAAAGCCGTAACTTCATGCAAACAGCTAAATACAGTTTAAAAATGTACTTGTGACCTGTTGCTTAGCAGGATTTGTAAGTTTAGTTCTCACAGGGGTGATTGTAGAGAACTACAAATGTTTAACAGGTAAAAATGTACATGTGTTATTCAACTGTGGACTTAGCCATTAACCTGGAGTTATACTTTAAATGAACACGAGGATTGGTAGAGCATGTTCACTTTTTAAATTGTATGTTCACTTGCAACGTGAATGTTCAGTAAGTTTAATGAATGTGAAGATGTGCTCACTTCAATCATTCAATTGTGCAAGCAAAAATCCAATTCTTTTTTTTCCCTTTGCTCATGATTTAGTATGCAATGGGGTTGATTTACTAAAACCAAGTAGGCTATTCACTTTGCAGCAAATTTTCCCCAGAGCTTACTGAATGAGATAAATCCTGCTTCCATCATCTAATTACGTGCGAGCAAAAATGCTGTTTTTTTATTTTCCTTGTATAAGACTGGGGATTTCCTTGCAAAGTGAAACTTCACCAAATTCACTTGAAAATTGCAACGTCCTTAAAAAGTGAACAGCCTATTTGTCTTTAGTAAATCAGTCTGTAGATCAACCTTTCGTAAACCAGCCTATTTTCTTTTAGTAAATTTACCATACCATAACATACAGTGTTTCTTCTGCAGACACACTTGTGACATAGAGGCCCAGTGTTAAAAGGTAGAAAACACGGAGGTAGTACACAAAAATCAAATACATCTGGAAGTGTCAGATGCTAAAGACTCTACCTCTACATTTGCTCTTCAAGAGAGGCTGTATAGGTAAGTTATGCAATATATGCTTTCATTGCTTACATTTTTTTTACTATTAGAATTGCCTTTCTAAGCCTGTACTAATTATCTACCTAGGAATGCAAAGAGGTTTTGCAGAAGGCACTCTAAGCTGCATGCGTATTCCTGCTCAGTGCTGCTGGCATTGACAGTCTGCCACTACTAAAAAACAAATGTGCAGGTAAAGGGCACTTCTGCAAATGCCCTACTAACCAAAATGCAGTACTTGATGATCGATAAACCTTGTACTGGTATATGCAGAGAGAGACTAGCCCTGTACAAATACAGATGTTCAAGGATTGTAAATGACATAGTATTTTCAAGAGAACTGGAACAGTGGACTGGGCAAGCCAAAAGTGCTGAGCTGGTAGGAGTGGCGCCTTGAAGGGCATCTATTCTAAAAAAATGTTCATCATTTCAAATTCACAAGCATATGAATGTAATACATTATAACGTCTAATATATCAGAGGAGGAGTACATCATGAAGTCTAATAATTCTGGCTATGAAAAAATGGTTCCTTTTTAATAAATCTTATTGTAAATTAAATCCAACTGCTCCCTTGCGTATGCAGGGTCACCTGTCAATAAAAAATGACAGATCTGTAATCAGTTGTTGACAGGGGAGAACTATTTTGTATATCAAAGCAGATAAAGTAAAACATTCTATGTCTATACAGGTTTAAAAATGGAGGACACATGCCCCTGCCAATATCAACACAGAAGAAGGAAGTAATGTCAATTACATTTTTGCATGCATTGTCTAGTACATGTATTAACACGCCTTATGAATATACTAGCAGTTACATAAATGTGTCAAAGAAAGTGCAAGCATATTATCCGATTGTGCTAAAGACCGGGAAATGTACAACTCCCATCATTGGGGGTCATGTATCTATCAGAAGCAAGCACAATAATTTGTTTAGTGAATTAAAGCTTAGTTTAAATTCAATAATTTCTGATGATCAGGTTTAGCACCCTCCTAGATAGGTGCTAGGTTAGTTAGATAGAATTAGTTATGTATTTGGTAGGTAAATTTATTTGTAACTTGTAGTCAAAGTGGCTGTAAATATTTGCTCGGAAAAAGCGTAGTTAGCACACTGTACTTGGTGAGCTGTGATCATTTAGTTAGGTCTGCTCTTTGTGCTCACCTGCTCTTAGTCTACCTAGCTTCCTCTATACCCAGGGAACTTTAAAGGTTTCTGGATGATAGGTGTGGCGTTATACAGATGGCAGCATGAATACTGACACAGCCTCAGCCTATCCAGAGAGAGGGGCTCTAAGGCATGCTGTGAAACTGTATTTATTCAGTGAGCACATAGAGTTCTGGGTCTTTGCTGGATTGGATGGCCCAAGTTTGGGACAAGGCACATTGCACTCCCAGGCATCTACTGCCATGCAGCCTCAGGCGGGTGACAAGAGGGCCTGAATACTGAGACCTGGTTATGCTGACTGAGGGGCTGCCTACTGAAGATCTTGTCTGGTATCATGGAGGAAAACATCCAGCTGTTCTTGGACCTTGTGAGTACAGACACCCCTAAAGGATCTTAGAGACTGTGTGCTGTTTAACCCCCTGTGGTGCTAGGGAGTCAGCTGCGGATCTAGCTAAGGGAACACTGGCTGGTGTTCCGTAGAGCTTTGTTCACCTTGCCTACCTTTAAAGGGACACTGTTCTGAGGTGCTAAAGAAGTTACTGCTACTACTACTACTACTACTACTTTCTACTACTTTCTACCACTGCCTTAAAGGTGAAGTCCATTGTTTGATTCCAGCACTGACTTTGACATATCTTGCTCTGAAGATAAAGCCTCAAGTGTACATAGTTCCTATATTTGGAGTATCCCACTCTTCTTCCTCATCCCTATCCAAGTTCTCCAAAAGTAAAAACAACACTCCTAGAATTTGTTATTGGAGCAATGTGTGAATGAGCCTATGTGTCTGGCTATGGGACAAAGTAACTAGGGGACCTGGACAGTACTCCTGTGGCTCCTACAGGAGTAGCGCTACACACAGAAAACCTGAAACTATATGAGAATTTCAAAAACAGAAGTGTGTTTTCATGAAGCTTTAAATGCAGCTAGAATACACTTAACGTACGATCGAGATCGATGTCTGGATCTCCTGTAGTTCGGGTCAGCCTGGTTCTTTTCCTTTTGTCTTCTTAAAACAGCTTCCCACTGTGGAGCAGAATCCACCATGTCATTTTCCTGCCGTAACCTGCAATAAAAATATTCTTTATGTTTTCAGTGAAGTGTAAGCAAGTGCAGTCATGTGACTAATGTACTACTGCTGTGTAATTTTGCTCCCACACCCACCGGGAACCAATAAAACAGGGCATCTCGAGTGCTCAGAGGAATACAGGAAATCTGGTTTGCAGAAAACAATTTCACTTTATTATATAAGCACACCAAAATAATAGAGATGTCAATTTACACTTTGGATCAATGAACCATATACATTACATTTGGACTGACACTGCTGGAGTGTTTAGCTGCTGCTGGTTTGAGTCATCTGTAGGTCTATTAGATTTCTTCAGGGTTCTACCAGCAAGGTCTCCCCAAAGGGGTTCATGAAATACTTACTGGACATGTTGGACACTTTAAATTATCTTTAAGCAGATTGTAGAGTTGGCTAAACATTGTACACACTCTTTTACATCAAATGTTCTTGTTTGTTTTGTAATATGTTTTGAACAATTCAACCTAAACATAGTAGTTGAATGATGTAGATTGGTCAGGCATAGCTTACGTAACAAGTACTTCTAATGAGTTGGTCATTGTATCCTTCCTTGCTTTGTACCACCCAGACTGGCTTAATTAACTTCTTCATGACCAAGTGTCAATGAAACCTAGATGCCCAGACAAATTGTTAAAATGTTTAAAACGTGTGTTTTTTTTTTATATTGGCACATTAGCAGTTTTTAAATCAGTTTTTACTCACTGTATTGCACTGTGACAGCTGTGGGCTGCCAGCTTCAGCTATTATTGTGCCTGTCTCTGTGCAAGACACAGCAGGAACTGGAGCAAGTAGCTTTGTTGGTAAACAAACCTATGTGATCACCATGATTGGTTGTGGTTGTTACAGAGCTCACATGATCAGGAACCACACTGATTGGCTTCCTATCATCAGCTTAGACCAGGGGCTGTCAGCTTCACACTCTAAGTTATAAAACAAAATGCAAATGAATGCCCTCTCAGGACAGGGAACCATGCCAAGGAACATTAATATACAAATTGTGGGCATCAAGATGTTAAGGCAAAGTAAGAACAGGCACAAGCATTGTAGATCCCACTGGAGATGTTGGTATTCAGAATAAACTACATGTTCTGGACTACAGACATTATTAGCAACATAGATAATGAAAAGTTGGATGTGTGTTGGAGATCATGTATCACTAGTGACTGAGCAAAATTTGAGCTTGGGTCTGAATACTGGGTGTGTGGTCAAGGTAGTATCCTATAAAATCAATAAGTGCAGAGCTAAAAAATTAGTTATAATCGTGATGAAATAAATAAATACAAAATGTTAAGTCCTTCGTTATGATAAGAAGCACAATATATTGCGTGCAACTAAAAAAGTAAAAAAACAGAAAAAAGTTCATATAATGGTGAAAATCTGACACCAGTCAGAAAATGGTGCTACGTGAAGATCCTGTTGCCCAAGTGATATCTGAAGAATTTCATATGATTATACTCCATTAAGTTCATGCAGGAGATATGGTAAAAAAAATGCGCACTCACCAGATGAGCATAATAAATGTGCAATTAGTATAAAAAAAATTATGTGTATCTAAGCATATTCTTCCACAGACTGGAAGTATGCTTAGATACACATCATTTTTTATGAACAGAGAAAAATATGTGTGGGAAATCCCTCTGTTGGAGTTTGTTCTGAGAATACCTATTATGGAGGTAGGGGCGGACTGACCATTCGAGCACTCAGGCACTGCCCGAGGGCCCGAGGTCAGTAGGGGGCCCCATGAGATGCCCCTAATACCTTTCATAGGCTTTTTTGGGTGTGGTTTGAGTTTGGGCGAGGACACAGGGGCCCCATGATCCACTATTGCCTAGGGGCCCCATGAGTTGTCAGTCCACCCCTGTATGGAGGATATATAATATTCCACAAAGCTTGTGTGATTCTTAATGTTAAGAGTCCAATATATCTGGCTCTGCATTGAGCTAAAAAACTTTCAGGATCCTATCCCGAGAACGGCTGCAGGGCAGTCCCAGGTCCAGAGGAGGGAGTCTCTTTCCAGGCTGCACACGTGGCCCACTTTAAAGGTGGCTTCTGGCAGATCTTACAACTATCATATAATTCTACTAATTACGCATTTATTATGCGCATCGGGGTGAGTGCGCATTTCTTTTACCATATCTCCTGCACGAACTTAATGGAGTATAATCACATGAAATTCTTCTGATATCACTTGGGCAACAGGATCTTCCTGTAGCACCATTTTCTGACTCGTGTCAGATTTTCACCATTATATGAACTTTTTTCTGTTTTTTTACTTTTTTAGTTGCACGCAATATATTGTGCTTCTTATCATAACGAAGAACTTAACATTTTGTATTTAATGATTGTTTTCATCACGATTATCACTAATTTTTTAGCGGTGCACTTACTGATATTATATGTTATTTAAGGTCTTTGGGTTCCTTTACAGTGCACATGCTGCTGATTCTATTGGAATCCTGAATGCTCACTGTTTTCTTCATCATAAAGGTAGTATCCTACTGATGGAGCATGCCCTGTTCACCTACATTCACTACTGGTGGAAGAATCATTCAACAGTGAAACAGGAAGATTCACTACCTAAATCCTTTTAATACTATATAGCAGGGGTTTCTAAACTGTGGCCCTCCAGCTGTTGAAGTACTACAAGTCCCATCATGCCACTGGGAATCTTACTTGTGGCTTTCAGAGTCTTGCAAGGTCTCATGGGACTAGGAGTTCCTCAACACCTGGAGGGCCATAGTTTGGAGACCCCAGCTATATAGGATTGAGTGTTAAAAGGGATTCTGGGAATGATTCTGCTTCACAAATGTAAAGGATATACACCCTTCCTCACCTGCATATCTTTATTTAGTGTATGAGCTCTAACATTTGCTAAGTTAGTAGGAGATGGCCTTTAGTCATTTCTTTGTTGAATTCAATGCTTTGTGTTAAACTTGAGGTTTTAAAGGCACACTCTAATCATATAAACATTAAAATGAATCAGGGAACATCTGCTGCGTGCCTCTGGTTTTCCTCTTGGCATTCATCCTACATTGCTGGGTGCCCCTCTTACTAAACCCTTACTGTTGCTGGTATCCTTCTCGGTATATGTAGGTCACTGTGCTACAAGCACTGATTTCCAAACTTTTAAAAAAAGAAAGGAAGTGAATTACCCCTGGAAGACCAGAGTTTGCAGGGCTCTGTGAGAAACCTGCTCAACATGGCTGCAACAGATTATACAGAAGTAAGGTAAACCGAGTGGACATTTTGACCTCAAAACAGTGACAATGTTTCATGGATAGCAAACACCAATCACTGTTTTTACATTTTTTTCCAGGAGTTTTTCTTTAATTTGAATTCAAATTTTCTAAATTCAATATAAGCGTATGGTTGTAATCAACACATGTGTACCATTTGTGCTGTTCAGCTCATTTCTGTGCCAAATTCCTACTGTTGCAGAACTGCAGTCAGTAAGGGTGACAGGATGACCTGACAAAAAATTAACAGACATGTCATGGGGATAAGCAAGCAAGAAATCTATAATGACATTAATGTGCATGGGTTTACACTTGAATTCACCCAGCTACAACATGGGATGACAACTACCTGCTGTGACCATGAAAGATTAAAAAGGCCTCCAACACGCTCACATTCTGTGCTAAAAATTATTTACAAAAAACAGGCTTTTTCTCCTGCCCTGTTCTCAGTGGACAAATGAGAAATATGATTAAAACAAAAAGTATTTGGTTATAAGTTCACAACATGATGTCATACTTTAAAATCTAACCACATCCAAACATATACAACTATGGAATGGCATTAGCAAAACAATTTAGGACATATGGCTAAACAGTTCCTATCATTAAAATGGGAAGTATACAGAGGAGGTACTCTGCTTAGGAATATCTTAGATTTAAAATAGAATTTTTTTTCCCCCCTGATTATACTTACCTAGGTGGATGCACCATCGGTCTGATGCTGCATCTTTACCCCACCAGCTCTAAGTATCCGTTCACATATATGCATATTAACAACACAGGATTAGAGTGAGCGCACAAAATACAGTGCAGGTGACTTCTTTGTGATATATAAATGAAGTGTGCTTGCACTTATCAGAAGCGCAAAGATTATGCGCATATAATGAATCTCAAATCATAATCTGGGTCCTGGTAGTCTTCAAGGGTCTTGTCATCACAGGGGTAGAGGGGGGACACCAATGGTTCACACACATCAGGTGGCTCTCCAAACCACGTAACGGACCAATATCATGTGTAGATGATTGTGAGTATGTTTCCTTGAGCGATATCAGCTATTTTTGGTGGTTCGCACCAGGGGGTACTACTCCAACCTTAAGATGGCTTAAAAAATGATAAAGCCACCAAAACAAAGGTGTAAAATAGTGTAGTACGTTTATTAAAAGCATAAAGAATAAATTGATAAAATTGACATAAAGTCCATCATAAAAATCAACATCTGGATGTGCATAAGAACACATTGCACTTACTCTGCTTTTATAAATATAAATAAACAGCGCAAACATAGACCTCTAAATCAAATCAATATATAAAGTGCATAATATATAATAAAAATTATATTAGTAGTGAAAGTCCATCATAATAATAGACAACAAAAGTTTGTGAATCACAAAAAGTTCGTGCAAAAAGATCAAAAATTCTTCAAATGCAAAGAAAAACTTCCACCTTCCACCCGTGCAAACCAACATCAAATACACTCACCAGATTTAGGTGAATGAAACGCCTTTTAGGAATTTTTATGGGATCCTAAACCCTCTTTCGTATCCACTCTATAGGAATCCTCACCATCAGTATAGGTTCCACCATACAACCGGGGAGAGAAAATCTCAGATAGTGTGATATTGCAAATTACCGTTTTTAAATGAAATCAAGGATTAAGGCCACTCACATTTAAATCACTTTAAATTGGCATATTTATTAGAACAAGCTTCTTCCAGATGGACAATGAATGTCAGACAACCTCCT